GAGGCCGCGTCCCACATACAGCAACTAGAAGGATGTGCAGCTATGACATACAACTATCTACTGGGGCTTTGGGGGGAAAAAAAATAAATAAATAAAATCTTTAAAAAAAAAAAAAAAAACCTGTGAATTAATCAACACAAAGTTCATTTAAAAAAAATAAAGATACAGTGGTCCCTCTGGTGACATAAGGATATATATGAAATTATAAAAGGATAATACAAGATAATATATAACTGAATACTAAACGGTATTATGGAGACTCTAAATTCTACATTGCTTTAGAGAAAGAAAAGATATCCTGTGAGTCTGAGAAACGATGGGGTGGGGGTGAGTATGCTCAAAGTCAGAGCCAGTCACAAGGAACCAAGTATTCTCATGAACTCTGGAATTCCCCTGATACTGAACAGCCCCACATTCTTCTTAGTTGGACATAAGAATGGTGATAAACAAGGGCTGGGGTCTAAGAGGATGAGCCTATGAGCAGTCAGAGTCCCTGGAGGTTATTTTTTAGTGCTCTTCGTACCAGGCAACTGGTGGCTTCAATCATGGGCACACTGAATATACTACCACACAGATGGGCACTGTGGAGCCCATGTACCATAGACCACCGGGACAATAATCAAAGTTTTAATTATAATGTTTCTACTTGCCTGATTTTCTCTTGTATCTTGTGATGATGAAGTAGGAAACTACGTAGAGAATGGCAAAAAGAAGGAAACATATCTGAAACAAAACAAAGTTAACAAATCATTTACATTTTTTGCATATCTTTTCTTAAATAATAGAAGATACATCTTTGGTATTTATAGAAAAAAGGGATTTAATCCATTACAAAGTAAAACTTTCAGATATTTTGCTAATGTAAAGTTTTGATGAAATATTAACTTGTATGAACTAGTCAGTTAACTCCAACTTAATTTCAGGAAAAAAATGTCCAATAAAGATTTTCTTTTCATAACTTGACCAAATTGTTTTCAAAATCATGTGGAAATACAAAGAACCAGACCATCTCTGACAATTCTGAAAAACAAAGTCAATGAGAGGCTACTATCCCTACCAAATATTAAAACATACCATAAAGCTTCAATCACATTTGAAGAGTGTGCTGGCACCAAAACTTGACAGATCAATGAAACAGATTCTATTATATAAAAACTTATATAATTGGTTATACAAACAAGAGGCATCACAAATCAATGTGGGGAGAGGAATAATTACTCAATAAAAATGCCACATATCAAAATACACAGCAGTTGAATAAAAGCCTTTTTTTAATATTAAATTCCATTTCAGTTCAATCAGATCTAAGGGACAATAGGCAAAAAAGGATGAGTCAAGGGGCCAGCCCAGTGGCGTAGTGGTTAAGTTCATGTACTCCGCTTTGGTGGCCCTGGGTTCGCAGGTTCAGATCCCAGGCATGGACCAGCGCACTGCTTATCAAGCCACGCCATGGCAGGCGTCCCACATATCAAGTGGAGGAAGATGGGCACAGATGTTAGCCTAGGGCCAATCTTCCTCAGCAAAAAGAGAGGATTGGCAACAGATGTTAGCTCAGGGCTAATCTTTCTCACAAAAAAAAAAAAAAAAAAAAAAAGGATGGGTCAAGGAATAGGAAATCTCATGATAGTCAAAGACCAAGTGTGCAAGAAATAAAGGCTTATTAGAGCTGTGGACCATGGTAAAAATATTTTGAAGACTCTCAAATGAAACCATGGCAAGTGATGATAAAAGTCTAGGAGCACCCCTATGTGTGAATTTCTGAAGAAGGGCTGGTGACCATATGACTGAGAACCACCTTGGACCTAGGCAGGGGACTGTACAATGTCATCTAGGAAACGACAAACTGAGAATGAAGAGAAAGACTATGAGCCTCATGTCAAAGTTCTCCCAATACACGTGGCAGAGTGACAGGAGACAATGCTGACAGTAACCAAAAGGAGCAAAGCATCAAGAGCATCAAAGATGGCCTGCTGCTGGGAGCCTGTAAGGGACTCCAGGTAGGTAAGAGAATGTTAATACCATCACCACCTCCTCCCAAAATCCTTTGGAGTGTTGGAGATGGGTCAAAAAGGAAAACCAGTTATTGCTGAAGAAATGTGAATAGAGGGGGTCTTCTAAGAAGTTGAGGATCGGGGGAAACTGTTTACAATGGAATGGAAGTCTGAGTAGGGCTGGGAGAGCAATGGAAAGAAGAGTGACTGGGCAGAAATACTGCGAATTATGACGTTCAAGTCACAGAGATCAGATGACCAAGAGAACTAAGATTTATGATTGAGGCTGACTGGAATTCATTCATTCAACAGTTATTTATTGTGGGCTTATTATATACCAACCACTCTTCTAAGAACTGATGACACAGCAGTGAACAAAACAAAGTTCCTGACCTCCCTCAGTTTACATTCCAGTAAGAAAACAGATAATAAATAAATATACAATGCATCAGAGGATAATTAGTGCAGGATTAGGGGACTACAAGTGCCAGCAGGAGCAAGGGGGCATGGCTCACTAATAAGGTGAGGAAAGAGTTGTGGGAGCAGAGAGAACAAGGCATGCAGCTATCCAGAGGGAGAGTATTCAAGGCAGAGAGAACAGCAATGCCCAGGGTCTGAGACAGGAAAGGCTCTGCTGTGTTCAAACAAGCAGGGGGAAGAAGTTAAGAGATAAGGTCATATAGGAGTCTGTAGTAAGTGCTGGTTCTTACAGATGGTATAATGTTGGTTTTCATCCTGAGTGAGAGGGGAAGCCACTGCAGGATTCTGAGCAGAGGAGTGACAGGACCTGACACATTGCAAAAGGCTCACTCCAGTGGTAAACGTGGAAAATAAATCAGAAGCAGCAAGGACAGAAGCAGGAGACCAGTTAGGAGTCTACTACAATAACTCAGAAGAGAGGTCACTTAGAGCTGTGTAGTGGAGGTGTTAAGAAGTTACCAAGTTCTGGGTATGTTTTGAAAGCAGACTTGACAGGATAAACACAAGGTTCTTGGCCAGAAAAGACAGAGTTGCCATTTCCTAAGTCACGCAAGATTACGAGAGTAGTTTTGGGGTGGAAATAAGAAGCACACTTTACACTGTTGAATTCGAAATACATAGCATAGACTCAGGTGGAGAGGTTGAATGGGCAGCTGGACATAAAAATCTGTACAATTCAGGAGAAGAAGCCAGGCCAGGAAAAACAAAAAAAGGATCATCAGCAGATAGATGATATTTAAAGCCCTGAGACAAGATGAGATTTCCATCCTAGGGAGTGAGTGTAGCCAGAGAACAGAAATCTAAGAACACAGCCCCGGGGCTCTCAAATATTTACAAGTCAACTTGACACAAGGAATCAGCAAAATCTGCCTGAAGAGCAGCAGTCAGCAGGTAGGAGGCAAACAAGAGACTGTCAGGTCCTGAAAGCCAAGTGAAGAAAGTTTATCTAGTAAAAGGGAATCATCAACCGTGTCAAATGCTGCTGACATGCCAAGTAAGATGAGGACTGAGAATTGACAACTGGATTTAGCAACATGGAGGTTATCAGTGACCTTGACAAGAGTTGCTTTTCTGGAGGGGTGGAGGCAAAACCCTGATTAAAGAGGATTAAGAGAGGAGAAGAACTGGAAACAAAATGTAAGTAAACAGTTCTTTCCAGGAGTTTTATGATAAAAGGAAGCAAAGTAAATGTGAAGGGGAATGTGAAGTTGAGAGGGTTTGTTTACAACGAGAAAAGTTATAAATGGTTGTAGGAATAATCCAGTAGAGAGGAAAATTACTGATGCAAGAAAGAAAAGGGAGAATTGCTGAATAAACGCGCTCAAGTTGAGGGGCTAGATATAAAATTTATCCACAGTAAAAATGAGGAGGAGGAGGAAGAGCAGGAGACAGAACCTCTGAGCTCCGTTGCAGGTAGGTAAGCAGATGTGTGGTGGAAGCATAAAGACATTCTCTTTTGATGGCTTCTATTTTCTTGCTTCCAGAGACAGAAGCAAGTTCATCAAATGAGAGTTACACATGGAGAGAGGGGAGAGAAGATATGTAAGTCACACAGGAGAATGGGAGAACAAATGAAGTAGAGAAATACAATAGAAGGGAGAGGCCAGGTGAGATGAAATGCATTTTAAAGTTCCAGGCAAACCCAAGCCCAAACTCTCAGAATGCAGGAGGCCTGATGGTGCTATACAACATGAGAGCCTGATTCTTTGATGCTGAGGCAGATGCAGGCAGAGTCCCCCAGAAATATCAGAGACTTGATGATTCTAACAGATACCCTATTCTCTCTCCTCCCCTTCACAGCCTATACTTGTGGACTTCCACTTTTTCACCACTCACTCACTCTTCCAACCACTAGTCTGACTTCATGCCCACTGATCAACTCAAAGTGCTCTGGCAGTGGTCAGTAAGGACCCAACAGCCAAATTACACTTTCATGATTTCACTTGACCTCTAAGCAGCACCTTCCATGTCAGCAATCTTCCTCCTTCTCTGACTGTTCTCCCAGTCTCCGTCACTAGCTTCCCTTTACCCTCCAGCCTTTAAACATTATTCTTCTCTACGATTTCTGGGCTAAGCCAGAAACAGATTCTCACTCCTCAAGCTCTTCATAGCTAACCTCATCTGCTCCCAGGGTTTTAACCACCAACCCCACATATCCCTGGACCACTGTTTGAGAACCACTGATTGGGAGAAAAATGAAACCAAGAACAGGGTGATGGATAGGAGGTTCCTGGTAGAGAAGCAGCTGCAATAAAAGAACTTGACCAAGGAGGTTGGAAGAATAGAAGGTTGTGATTAAAGGATGTTTTAGTATTTTTAAAATTAGTATTTAAAGGCAGAGAAGAGTAGTTTCAGGAATTCAAGAGAGTTAGTGCAGAAGTGATCAATGAGAAGGCACGCAAGTTAATGGACAAAATGAAATCAAGGAACCAAAATGCATGGCATGGAATGAAAAGACTAATGGAAAGCAAACCATTTAAGAGTAGAAGTAAGGCTAACAATTATAAAAACAAATGTAAGTATTACTGATTTGGAAATCAGACTCTGTTATGAGTCTGTTATTTTTCTAGTTCCAAAGGTGGGACTAGGAGCAGGTGTTCCTCCTTTAAATGAGTGTCTGTAGCAGACAAACAGACCCACAGGGATGAGTGAGTGAACAGAAAGCAAGCTGTAATGATGCTGCCTATTCTCCTACATGCAGTGGAGACAAAATGAAATTCCTAACCAACAAAAGGAGAAAAACATTCCAGCTCCTCACCACTAAGAGTGAGGAACGGCTGATAACAAGGAAAAGGATGGGCTCTCATGGTTCTCTGAAAAGACTGAACTTCTCTCCTGGTCAGGGAAGGCGGAGCAGGGCTACCGGAGCTCACAAGCAGAAAGAGACACGGGTACGTGTCCTCTGTGCCAGGTGACCCAGAGGGCAGGCGATTCGGCTCTCTTGAGGCCATGTGGCTTGAGTCCTGATGCTGATCAAGAATGGCTAGGCATTTGGGAGCTGAGTTACCCAGTCACAAGTAACCTAATAATACGTTTAAAATACACTGTTAAAAGCTAATATCCTTCAATTCCAGGTATAAGATTTGAAGAATAAAAATCACATGATCATCTCAATAGGTGCAGAGAAAGCATTTGACAAGATACAGCAGCCATTTATGATAAAAACTCTGAATAAAATGGGTATAGAAGGAAAGTACCTCAACATAATAAAGGCCATATATGACAAACCCACAGCTAATATCATACTCAATGGTGAAAAACTGAAAGCTATCCCTCTAAGAACAGGAACCAGACAAGGATGCCCACTCTCACCACTCCTATTTAACATAGTACTGGAAGTCCTAGCCAGAGCAATCAGGCAAGAAAAAGAAATAAAAGGGATCCAAATGAGAGAGGAAGAAGTGAAACTCACTATTTGCAGATGACGTGATTTTATATATAGAAAACCCTAAAGAATCCAACAAAAAGCTTTTAGAATTAATAAACGAATACGGTAAAGTTGCAGGATACAAAATCAACATACAAAAATCAGTTGCATTTCTATACACTAACAATGAAGCAGCAGAAAGAGAAATTAAGAATACAATCCCATTTACAATTGCAACAAAAATAATAAAATACCTAGGAATAAATTTAATCAAAGAGGTGAAAGATCTGTACACTGAAAACTATAAAACATTGCTGAAAGAAATTGAAGAAGACACAAAGAAATGGAAAGATATTCCGTGCTCTTGGATTGGAAGAATTAACATAGTTAAAATGTCCATACTTCCTAAAGCAATCTACAGATTCAATGCAATCCCTATCAAAGTTCCAACAACATTTTTCACAGAAATAGAACAAAGAATCCTAAAATTTATATGGAACAACAAAAGACCCCGAATAGCCAAAGAATCCTGAGAAAAAAGAACAAAGCTGGAGGTATCACACTCCCTGATTTCAAAGTATACTACAAAGCTACAGTAACCAAAACAGCATGGTACTGGCACAAAAACAGACATACAGATCAATGGAACAGAATTGAGAGCCCAGAAATAAACCCACACATCTATGGACAGCTAATTTTCGACAAAGGAGCCAAGAACATACAATGGAGAAAGCAAAGTCTCTTCAACAAATGGTGTTGGGAAAACTGGACAGCCACATTCAAAAAAAATGAAAGTAGACCATTATCTTACACCATACACAAAAATTAACTCAAAATGGATTAAAGACTTGAATGTAAAACCTGAAACCATGAAAATTCTAGAAGAAAACATAGGAAGTACATTCTTCGACATTGGTGTTAGCAACATATTTTCAAGGACCATGTCGGACCAGGCAAGAGAAACAATAGAAAAAATAAACAAATGGGACTACATCAAACTGAAAAGCTTCCGCACAGCAAAGGAAACCATCAACAAAACAAAAAGACCATCTAACAATTGGGAGAAGAGATTTGCAAACCATATATCTGATAAGGGCTTAATCTCCAAAATACATAAAGAACTCATACGTCTCAACAACAAAAAAACTAACAACCCAATTAAAAAATGGGCAAAAGACCTGAACAGACATTTCTTCAAAGAAGATATACAGATGGCCAACAGGCACATGAAAAGATGTTCAACATCATTAACTATCAGGGAAATGCAAATCAAAACTACAATGAGATAACACCTCACTCCCATCAGAATGGCTATAATTAACAAGACAGGAAACAACAAGTGTTGGAGAGTATGTGGAGAGAAGGGAACTCTCATACACTGCTGGTGGGAGTGCAAACTGGTGCAGCCACTATGGAAAATGGTATGGAGAGTCTTCAAAAAATTAAGGATAGAACTCCCATATGATCCAGCTATTCCACTGCTGGGTATTCATCCAAAGAACATGAAAAAACCAGTGCATAAAGATACATGCACCCCTGTGTTCATTGCAGCATTATTCACAATAGCCAAGACTTGGAAGCAACCTAAGTTCCCATCAAGGAACGAATGGATGAAGAAGATGTGGTATATATACACAATGGAATACTACTCAGCCATAAGAAATGATGAAATCTAGTCATTTGCGACAACACGGATGGACATTGAGGGTATTATGCTAAGCGAAATACGTCAGAGGGAGAAGGTCAAATATAGTATGATCTCACTCATAAGTAGAAGATAAAAACAACAACAGACAGACACATAGAGACAGAGATTGGATTGGTGGTTACCAGAGGAGAGGAGGAGAGGAAGGAGGGCAAAAGGGATGAGTAGGCACATGTGTGTGGTGATGGATTGTAATTAGTATTTGGGTGGTGAACGTCATGTAATCAATGCAGAAATAGAAGTACAATGATGTATGCCTGAAATTTATACAATGTTACAAACCAATGTTATTGCAATAAAATAATTAATTTTAAAAAATACATTGTTAAAAGCTAATATCTTTCAATTCCAGGTGTAAGATTTGAACCTAAATTCAAACTAGTGCATTATAATCAAACTGTACTACCTAGCTTTTCACATACGGCCAATGGGCTTCAACTAATTTAGGGTGACTAAAAGGAATAAATATCATAAAAGAGTGACAGGTGCAAATGGGCTCAAAGACTGCTACCACCAACACATTTTTAACAAAATCCTGGGAGAGAAGACAAATAAACTATAAGTGAGCCAATAATCTCATTCCACAGCAGAGAGCTAACAGACATGGCTTTATTTTAAAGTTGATATATCAAAAAATAGAGATGCTGAGTATCCTTGAAAATTACAAACTAACCACTAAAATACTTAAAATTATAATCTTTCAAATTACCCTAAGAGCCAGGAAAATAAAAATAAAAGAAAGAAAAATCCAGACTACATAGTAAAAGACAAGAAAACACATATAGTTATAAAAATAATAATATAAAATAAGCCAGCCCCGATGGCCTAGTGGTTAAAGTTCAGTGCTCTCACAGCCTCAGTGGCCCGGATTCATTTCCCAGTCTCAGCAGAACCACATCACCCGTCTGTCAGTTGCCATGCTGTGGCAGCGGCTCACATAGAAGAACTAGAAGGATTTACAATTAAGATATACAACCATGCACTGGGGCTTTGAGGAGGAAAAATAATAATAATAATAATAATAATAAATAATAAAGATGAAACATATTAAAATCATAATTGTAAATGAGACAAACTATTAAAAGAAAACATTCAGAGACTGAGATGTACCTAAAATAGTGACTCAGAAAGGTTGAAAACAAAAGGATAAACAGAGACATACCAGGCAGATGCTAACACAGAAGAAAGTTAGGTTGTCAATTTTTTTTTCTCTCAGACAAGGCTGAATTTAAGGCAAGAGGTGTTAAGGAAGACAAAGTGGGGCACTTGATGAACAATGGTATAACCCACAATGAGGAAAGAATCTTCATGCACCAAAAAACACAGCACCAAAATACATTTTTCAAAATTGAATATGCAAGGAAAAATAAAACACTTTAGTTGAGAGACTTGAATTCACCATGGAAGAAAAAAATAAACTCAAACTAAACACATAATAATAATAAATGTGAATTTTAAGAAGTAATAAGATTGCTCTAGTAAATGTGCTTATCATACTCAATGCTCTACACCTCATATCCTGACACCCACTGCCTCAGCCTCTCACAACCACTACTCTGCTTTGTTTCTATGAATTTGCCTCTTCTGGATACATCACATGAATGAATCATACAATACGTAGCTTTTTGTGTCTAGCTTCTTTCACTTCACATAACGTTTTCAAGGTTCATCCACGTTGTAGCATGCATCAATACATCATTCCTCTAGGTTTTTTATGAGAAAAATAAACCCCTATTTGATTAAAAACACACTGAATATTTGTTGCTAGTAGCTAAAAGCATTCCTTCGGATATATTTGCATATACACACAAAGATGTATATATAAAGGTGTTCATTGTTTCACCGTTTGTTATCGAAACAAACCACCTTTCAAAAGAGAGAAGAAAAAATTACCACTGCTCTATGTCCAGAAGAATTAATTTGAATACAAAACACCAGCTGATATCTACTCTTCTAACAGTTATAAGCACCCGCAAATAAAGTGCCCTGTGTCTTTCAACTTGCGCTTCAATAAAGGTGAAACAATATTTCCTCATAAACAAGTAACACCGAGACCTTTAACAAGGGGTAAATATTCCACTTTTCAAGATAATCAAAGAAAATTTCAAGTTTTACACTTTATTACCTATCTTGAGATTTTTCAGATTCTACATATTCTTACAATGCAAGTCATCAGAAATAAATTCTTTAAATCCCTTCTGAGATCCAGACTCCAGAAAAATATAAAGGAAGGACAGCTTTATTTGACAGGAGCCAGACCACAGCCAGTTGTCACTCACGCTTTGTCCTTCTGGCTCTTGACCGAATCACAACTATAACCCACAAAGCCTCCCTCTTTCTCAATCCCCACAACATTCCTAGTTCACATATTTTAGCATGACTGATTTCCATTATATGTTTCATGTAAATAAAACTTGTCTCCTAAACTATTTATCATATATATTATATAAATATTATATATTTAAATATAAAATTATAAACATAAATATATATTATATAAAATAGAAATATATTATATATGAATATATATTTATCACACATTTTTATATATATATTTAGGTATATTAGACATACTAACAGCAACAGGGACTATCTTGTACATCTCTTGAATCTTCTTGAGTGCCTAGATAAATAATTTTAAAATAAAGTGAGTAACTCACACTCCCTTCCCACTATTGGTTCCTTAGCCTCAGTCAGGTCTGATCAGGGCAAAGGGAAGACACTTTGAACTAGATGAAAGGTGGAAGTTTCCATTAGACTGGACTCAACTCTTCAATATGTGAAAATGACCATAAAGCTATGAGATGAATAGGGAACAGAGATCCAACAAAACATCCTTGCAAACAGCCATGGGAGAAAATTAAGCTTCTTTATAATTATTTCCTACCAAGTTTACCCATGCAATAGACAGTTAAGTACTGACATCTTAATGATACCGAGTCTTCCTTCCATGAAGATGGACTCTCTCTCCATTAATTTAGATCTTTTTTGATACCTTTATCCGAGTATGTAGTTTTCTTCATGTAGATCTTGTATATGTTTTGTTAGCTTTTATATCTAAGCATTTTCTTTTGGTTCTAATGTAAATGGTGTGTTTCTAATTTCAAATCCCAATTATTCACTGCTGGTATATAGGAAAGCAATTGACTTTTGTATATTAACTTTGTATCTTGAAACCTTGCTATAATCTTTTATTAGTCCCAGTTTTTTGTTATTGACGCTGGGATTTTCAACATAGATGATCATATCTATGTAGAAGGAAGAAAACAAAGACAATTTTATTTCTTCCTTCTCGATCTGTATACCTATTATTTACTTTTTGTTTCTTACTTTATTAGCTAGGACTTCCAGTACAATGTTGAAAAGGAACAGTGAGAGGGGACATCCTTGCCTTGTTCCTGATCTTAAGTGGGGAAAGCTTCTAGTTTCTCACCATTAACTATCATGCTAGCTGTAGATATTTTGTGGATGTTCTTTATAAGTTGAGGAAGCTTCCCTCTATTCCCAGTTTACTGCGAGTTTTTAGCATGAATGAGTGCTAGATTTTGTCAAATGCTTTTTCTGCATCTATTGATAGGATTATATGATGTTTCTTCTTTAGTCTGTTGATGTGATGGATTACATTAAGCGATTTTCAAATGTCGAACCAGCCTTAAACACCTGAGATAAATCCAACTGGATCACAGTGTATAATTCTTTCTATACACTGTTGGATTTGGTTTGCTAATATTTTCCTGCAGAACTGTGTATCTATGCTCATGAGAGATATTCATCCATAGTTTTCCTTTACTGCAATGTCTTTGTCTGATTTTAGTATTAGGGTAATGCTGGCCTCATAGCAGGAGTTAGAAATTATCCCCTCTGCTTCTACTTTCTGTAACAGACTGCAGAGAACTGGTATCACTTCTTCCTTAAACTTCTGGTAGAACTCACCAGTGAAATCACCTGAGACCAGTGTTTAGAGGGTCAACTCCTTAGTTAATTTCTTTAATACATATAGATCTACTCAAATTATGTTTCACCTTGTGTGAGTTTTGATAGGTTGTGTCTTTGAAGGAATTTGTCCATTTCATTTCATCTAAGTTTTCAAATTTGTGGGCATAAAGTTGTTCATAATATTCCTTTAATTATCTTTTTAATGTCCACAGAATCAGTAATGGCCTCTCTTTCATTTCTGATATTAGTAATTTGTGTTTTCTTTTTTTCTTGGTTACCCTAGCTAGAGGTTTTATTGATTTTATTGATCAATTTTATTGATATTTTCAAAGAACCAGCTTTTGATTTTGTGAAATTTTAAAACTGATTTTCTGTTTTCAGTTTAATTGATTTCTGGTCTATTTCTTTTCTTTTGCTTACTTTGGAATTACATTGCTCTTCCTTTTCTAGTTTTCTCAAGTGGAAGCTTAAATTGTTGATTTTAGATCTTTCTTTTCTAATATGTCCATTCAATGCTACAAATTTCCCTCTAAGTACTACTTTTGCTGCATCCCATAAATTTTGATAAATTGTATTTTCATTTTCATTTAGTTAAAAATATTTTTAAATTTCTTGAGCCTTCTTCTTTGACCCATGTGTTATTTAGAGGTTGTTTAATCTCCAAGTACTCTGGAGCTTTCCAGCTATATTTGTTATTAATTTGTAGTTTAACTGTACTGTGGTCTGAGAGCAAACATCATATGATTTCTATTCTTTTAAGTTTGTTAACGTATGTTTTATGGCCTAGAATGTGGTCTATCTTGGTGAACGTTCCATGCAAGCTTAAGAAAAATGTACGTTGTGCCATTGTTCAATGAAGTAGTCTATAAAATGTCAATTACATCCAGCTGACTGATGCGCTGTTCAGTTCAACTGTACACCCTGATTTTCTGCCTGCTACATCTGTCAATTACTGATAGAGCAATAATGCAGTCTCCATCTATAATAGTGGATTCATCCATTTCTCTTTGCAGTTCTGTCAGTTTTGACTCATGTATTTTGATGCTCTGTTGTTAGGCGCATACACATTAAAGATTGTTATGTCTCCTTGGAAAGTTGATCCCTTATCATTTTGTACTGCCCGTTTTATCCCTGATAACTTTCCTTGTTCTGAAGTCCACCTTGTCTGAAATTAATACAGCTACTCCAGCTCTCTTTTGATTAGTGTTAGCACGGTATATCTTTCTCTGTCCCTTTACTTTTAATCTATCTATACCTTTCTATTTAAAGAGGATTTCTTACAAACATATAGTCAGGGGTTTTTTATCCACTCTGACAGTCTTTTTTTTTTTTTTTTAATATATATACATCTTTATTGAGTTTTTTTATATTTTGTGATAAATGTCCTCAACATGAAAAGATTACGTGCATGAGCAAAGGACTCATACATGTTGCGCTACTGTGTCGGAAAAATTAGCTAAAGAAGATTCAATTAAGCAGAATGGTGGCTTTATTTATTAAAACTCACAAATATTTCATAAATTTTAAAGCCACAAATTTATGAAATATTTGTGAGTTTTAATAAAATGACAGTCTCTGTCTTTTAATTGATGTATTTAGACCATTCACATTTAAAGTGATCGTTGATACTGTTGGTTTAATATTTATCACAGTTTTAACTATTTTCTATTCATTGCCCTTGTTCTTTGTTTCTATTTTTATCTTTCACTCTTTTTCTGCCTTCTGATTTTAATTGAACATTTTATATGACTCTATTTTCTTTCCTCTCTTAGCATATCAATTACACTTCTTTTAAAATATTTTTAGTGGTTGCCCTAGAGTTTGTAATTTACATTTACAACTAATCTAAGTCCATTTTCAAACACTAGACTGCTTCATGGGTAGTGCAGGTGCCTTATAAATTATTCCCAATCCCTCCCTCCTGTCCCATATAACATTACTGTCATTCATTTCACTTATGTGTAAGCTATAATCACTGAATACATTGTTGCTAGTATTACTTTCAATAAACTGTTACCCATTAGATTAATAACAACAAAATAAAAGATTTTATTTTACCTTCATTTACTCCCTCTCTAATGCTCTTCTTTTATGTAAATCTGAGTTTCTCACCTAAATAATTTTCCTTCTCTCTGAAGAACTGAAGAATTTTCCTTCTCTCTGAAGAACTTCTCTTAAAATTTCTTGCTAAGCAGGTCTACGAGCAACAACTTCCCTCAATTTTTGTTTGAGAAAGTTTTATTTCTCCTTTACTTTTAAAGGATAATTTTGCTGGATACAGATTCTAGGTTGGTGGATTTGTTTTTTTCTACTAACATTTCAAATATTTCACTCTCCTCTTCTTGCTTGCATGGTTTCTGAAGAGAAATCTGATATAATTCTTATCCTTGATCCTCTATTTGTAAGGTGTTTTTATTCCTCTGGCTTCTTTCCTCTCTTCTCTTTCTCTCTGATTTTCTGCAGTGTGAATATATGCCTAACCTTTCATTTTAAATACAGTTTTTGGTTGACATGGTAAAAATTATTTTAATTTTTCTTTAAAAAACACAAGGTGTGCAATTATAATGGGAAGTAGTTTTTCTCCCCCTTTTAACATTACGTAGTTTGGAATGATCTATCCTTTAATCTCTTAATGTGCCCCCAAATTTTTTTCAAAGAGCAAGGAATTTGGTTATTACAATATCCAATTAAACTAGTATTAACTTTCCCTACTATGACAACTTACAACAGAAAATAAACATTACTTGTAAGAGGCTATTCAAATTGTGCATATATGTAATTACTTCTGTGCTTAGCTTATATACTTGTTTGGCAGTTAGTGTGAAGACTAGAGTTCCTCAACCTTGGCACTGTTACCATTTTCGGGCAGATAATTCCTTGTTGTTGGGGGCTATCCTGTGCGTTGTAGGATTTTAGCAGCATCTCTGTCCTCTACCCACTAGACGCCAATACAGGATCCCCCTAGTTGTGACATTGCTACATGTCTCCTGGGGGGGGCACTGCCACCCCAGTTGAGAACCATAGGTCTAATACATATATGCTAAATATGGAAAAAGGCAATAATGTAAAAATGGTATTATTTGGTGTTAATTTTTTCAAATAATGTAACTTTTGAAGCGAAGGAGTGATAGATAAATCTCTAAGGGGCGACTTGAAAATTACTGTGTCAGACATATAAATGCATGTGACGTATAGGAAGACCTTAAGAAAAGTAAGGCTGCCATCCAACTCTCCTCCACAGGCAATCTCTTGTTTTTCTAAGCCACTTCCACAATGCTAGGTAATAATTTTTGGTTTCTGAACATTAACAATAGACACTGACTTCCCAATACAGAAGCTGAGGATTTAGCTACTAGCTTTCTGATACCGAGGACATCTACACCATAGGAAATATTTCCACTGCTACCTGTCTCCTACTTCTTCCTCTTGTGTTTACTGCTATATTATTATTCCTTGTTATTCTCTTTCGTAACCTTGCAAGGACTTAAATCTTTACTTCTTGTTTTATCAATTTATTCCCAGAGGTGTAGCTGACAGATGTGTCCTGTTCTTAAATTCTCAAGTGGTAGCTGCTATTATTATTATCAGTAGTTATGATAACCTAATTATCTAACAATAGAGGGATGGTTCTGTTTAGTTTTTCACAATTTAAATATCGTTACAATGGCGGGCCGGCCCCATGGTGTAGCGGTTAAGTGTGTGTGCTCTGCTGCTGGCGGCCCAGGTTCGGATCCCGGGAGCGCACCAAGGCACCACTTGTCACGCCAAGCTGTGGCGGTGTCCCATATAAAGTAAAAGATGGGCACGGACGTTAGCCCAGGGCCAGTCTTCCTCAGCAAAAAGAGGAGAATCAGCATGGATGTTAGCTCAGAGCTGATCTTCCCAAAAAATAAATACCTTAAAAAAAAAAAAAAAGGTGATCACTCTTTAAAATAAATAAATAAATAAAGTTACAATGAAAATCTTAATGCATATAGCCTTCTTCTTGAAATTACTGTAATATAAATTCCCAGGAGTAAGATTATTAAATGAGTGTATAAATATTTCATTATATTGCTTTTCAGCAGGGTTATTAGAATTTATTTATTCATATTGAAAATAGTGTTATTCTTTTTTTCCAATTATATAAATAAAAATCCTTATTGTTAAAAACTGAATTTATTCAGAGAAGTATAAGAAAAGGTAAAAGGGTAAAAGTAACCCTAAATTCCACTACTCTGAAATAAGCCCCCTTCTCTCATACCTCTCTCTGTGTATATCTACACTACTTAAATAACATTTATCTTAGTCGGATTATACATTTACTGTTTCTATGTGGAAATATCTTCAGTTTTTTCTTGCCCTGTGATTTTTGGCTTATGGTCATACCTTCTTTATATACACCTCCTCCTCCCAACTTTACCATCTCCTCAGGTAACTAGTAGGAAGGGTAGTCTGGTGTACAGGCTTCCATTCTTGTTACTGGCTCCAAAATATTCCACAACATGTGTAAGTGGCTGTATAAGGCTACGTCTTCTAAAATTTTTGTTTTTTTTTTTTTTTTTTTTCGTTTAGAAATCCCTTTTAACTCTTAGCTTTCTTTCAAAATATTCTTTTTTTTTTTTTTTTTTTTTTTACATTTAAGTCTCTAATCCGTCTAGAACTCATTTTCATATATATGATATAGGGTTTCAATTTCATATTTTCTTTTGTTAGGCCCAACACAATGTATTAAATAAACCATCTTTTCCCACTAAAAATGACTGCTGCTGTATATTAAATTCCCAAATATAGTGGGACATATTTCTATTATGTTTGTTCTCTTTGTCAATTTCTATAAGAGTGACATGCACTTTTAATAGTAATGATTATATAGCATTATTTGCTCTCTGGGAAGGCAAATCTCTCTCCATGAGTTTCATTTTTCATAATTTCCTACACTAGTTCCAGGCTTTTTTATTTTTTTTATTTTTGGAGGCAAAAATTCAGACATTTAACCTTCCATATGAACTTTAGTATCATTTGTCTTCAATGCTAAATAAAACTCTGGGCCTGCCCGCATGGCTAGCCGGGCTTCCGCCCAAGTCCCCCGGCTGGTCTGGAAGGTGCGGGCACTGCCTCGACGGCGGCTCCATGGGACGCGTGGACCGGCCGCCCCCCGCCCCTGGCAGACGCCGTCATGAGGGACCTGCCGTACTTCTGCCGCAACCAAGTGGTGTGGCTCCAAGCAGCTAACTGTGGGCATCCCACAGCTAACTTTCCTGAACAAGTAGTAGATAATCTTCCAGCTGATATATCCACTGGCATTTATTACGGTTGGGGCAGTGTTGGAAGTAGAGATGTCCCTAAGATGGTGGTGAGCATAAGATGGAACCCATACTACAAGAATACGAAGAAGTCCATGGAAACTCATATCATACATACCTTCAACAAGGACTTCTATGAGGAAACCCTCAATGTGGCTGTCGTTGGCTACCTCAGACCAGAAAAGAACTCTGATTCTTTTTTTTTTTTTTTTAAACATCTGATGCCAATCCTCCTCTTTGTTTTTTGCTGCAGAAGATTGGCCCTGGGCTAACACCCGTGCCCATCTTCCTCTATTTTATATGGGATGCCGCCACAGCATGGCTTGACAAGTGGTGCATCGGTCCACACCCAGGATCCAAACCTGCAAACCCCAGGCCGCCAAAGCGGAGTGCAAGAACTTAACCGCTACGCCACCGGGCTGGCCCCAGAACTTTGATTCTTTAGAGTCACTTATTTCAGGAGTTCAAGGTGATATTGAGGAAGCTAAGAAACAACTTGATTTACCAGAACATCTGAAACTCAATGAGACAATTTCTTCCAGGTTCCTAAAAGCAAAATAATGAATGGCCACTGATGAAAAATCATGTTATTTATTCATTCACTGTTTTCTAGTATTTTACTTCTTATAACTCTGTAGTCTCAGCTTTGTTCTATTTTTAAAATGTTTGGGGCCGGCCCCGTGGCTTAGCGGTTAAGTGCGCGCGCTGTGCTGCTGGCGGCCCGGGTTCGGATCCCGGGCGCGCACCGACGCACCGCTTCTCCGGCCATGCTGAGGCGGCGTCCCACATACAGCAACTAGAAGGATGTGCAACTATGACGTACAACTATCTACTGGGGCTTTGGGGGAAAAAATAAATAAATAAAATTTTTAAAAATGTTTGATTTTTAAAATAGAACAAAGCTGTGAATTAGTTTAAACAGTATAGTGCAGTTACCATATTATGCTTCAACTGTTCAGTTAAACCCATCATGCTACAGTGCTAAAAGATTCATTTTAAAAATCAAGATTTTTTTATGTAATATATTGATTAAAATGTACCAACAGAAAAGTCTTAAGTGTCTTATAATGGAAATAAAATGTATATAAATATGAGTAAAAAGGGAAGTCACTAGTTTGAGAAGAGAATGATATTCTCATGGTAAAATACTAGCATGTCTGTACTTGTATAGCGTGTGCTGCTCAACAGAGAAGGTTATAAAAGTAAATGGATTAAACAGAGGTTTGACACTTTATTACAAACCTCAGGGGGAAAATCCAGATTTTGTATTTCTGATACCTTGTGCATGACTATATTATTACAGACATGAAGACTTGTGAAATTTCATTTTAATCAGTCATCTCCTTAATGGGGTCAGATCATTATACTGTGTTCCATTTGTGTTACAGCTGCCTCAGTTCTAATTGGTCTCAACTCCCTCTGCCTATCATTTTTTTGTCTTTCAAAGCAGTAAAATGAGTGTTTTTTGAATCTCTAGGTCTCATGCTGTATAACACTTCTCTATTCTTTTTTAAGAGTAGATATTCTTCTTCAACATTTTCCTTGACTTGGGTTTTTTTCCTTTAGACAATTGTCAATGTCAGGTTTTTTCCATTTAGAATATCCTACAACTGTACACTTACAAAAGATTGCATCTGTATCTACCACTCCATCCCTTCGCTATATGAACAGTCATTAAGCACATAATTGTATTGCATTTTAGGAAAAAAATTTCATCTTTAGGTTTTTTCAAAGTTTTAAAGAACACATAGCAGTTCATTTATATATACCAGTTTCTTAAAGAACACAAAATACTTGTTTTCCCCCAGGGAAGCTATTTACGAGCCAATTAAACTATGAAGCAGAAAGTTATTTATTTTTAACATGATCATATGTTCCTGAGCAAATGTAAACTGTTGAGTTGTGTACGCACAATGTGATTTAACGCTAAAGAGTGCTTGTAGCTTGGGGGAAAGGCATAAATAATACAGTTTTAGTTAAGTAAAAAATAAAATAAACAAAACTCTGCTTCCAACTACAGTTGCATTAATTGTACATATTAATTTTGGAAGAGTTAATATTTGCATGATATTTTGTCTTTCCCTTCAGGAATGTGGAATATCTTTTCACTTGTTAGATCATGTTTCATATCCTTCAATAAGATTTTTATGGTTCTCTGCATATAGTCCTTATTCCCTTCTTGTTAAGTTCTGTTTTACAGTTTTTGTTGCTAATGTGAATAAAATATTTTTCTTATTTTGACTGTGGCTGGTTATTGCTAGTACAGAGAAAAGCTCTTGACTTGTGTATACTTACACTGCCTCTAGTTAGTTTACCCAAATCACTCATAATTTCAGAATCTTATGGTTTTTCTAGTTACACAATCATATCACTAATTAGGAGATCATTTTCTTCTTTTCTAATAATTATAACCAATATTAATTCTTACCCTTTTGAATTCCCCAGAACCTTGAAAATGTCCAATAATGTTGATGATAGCAGGCATTCCTATCTTTTTCATCATAATAATGAAAATAGTTTTTGAGTTTCCATATTTAGCATAATGTTTCCTGTTGGTTTTTGACAAATATTTAAGTAAATGTCATTAATTTCTTTTTTTTTTTTTTAAGATTTTATTTATTTATTTTTTCCCCCCAAAGCCCCAGTAGATAGTTGTATGTCATAGCTGCACATCTTTCTAGTTGCTGTATGTGGGACGCGGCCTCAGCATGGCCAGAGAAGTGGTGCGCGCCCGGGGTTCCGAACCCGGGCAGCCAGCAGCAGAGCGCGTGCACTTAACCGCTAAGCCACAGGGCCGGCCCATTAATTTCTATCTTATTTAGCATTTTTGTTAGGAATGGTTGCTTAACCTGAGCAACATTTATTAGAATAATCAATTTTCCTTTTAAGTTGTTGAAATGATAAATTATGTTGTTATATTTCATGGTTATTAAGCCATCCCAATACTGAACCATTCCTGGAATAAACTCATCTTGTTTACTGTGTATTAATCCGTTGATACAGTATTGTACTGTAAATTTTTATTGGTATTTATAAATGACATTATTTGATAATTTTCTTTCTTACTCAGATTTTATTGAGGTTATGGTAACTTCATAAAATGAAATTAGGAGTTTTTCTCCTTTTCATGTGAGTCACTTTAAATATTAGAATTATCTGTTCTTTAAAGGTGATATAGAATTCAGCTACAAGCCCATCTGATCCTAATATTTTATATAATGATAGATTTTTAAATGTTTCCCATATCTTCTATGGTAAATAACTGATTCAAGTTTTTAGATTTTTCCTTGGTTAAAGAAAATGAATCTAGACAAAGACCTTCTATCTTTCACAAAAATTAACTCAAAACGGATCATAGACTTAAATGTAAAACACAAAACTATAAAACTTCTAGAAGAAAACACAGGAAAAAAATCCAGGTGACAGGTGATCTTGGGTTTGGCAATGACTTTTTAGATACAACATGAAAAGCATGATCCATAAAAGAAAAACATGATAAACTGGACCTCATTATAATCAAAAACTTCTGCTCTGTGAAAGACACTGTTAAGAGAAGCAAAGACAAGCCACAGACAGGTAGAAAATTTTTGCAAAACGCATATGTGATAAAGGACTTGAATCCAAAATATACAAAATTAAAAAATTAAAAATTAATTTAATTTTAATTTAAAAATTAAAAATTAATTTAATTTTAATTTAAAAATTAAAAAATGGGCAAGAGGGGCCAGCCCAGTGGCATAGTGGTTGGGTTTGTGCACTGCTCTTTGGTGTCCCAGAGTTCACAGGTTCGGATCCCAGGCGCGGACCTACACACCGCTCATCAAGTCATGCTGTTGCAGCGTCCCACATACAAAATAGAGGAAGACTGGCACCGATGTTAGCTCAGGGACAATCTTCCTCAAGCAAAAAGAGGAAGATTGGCAACAGATGTTAGCTCAGGGCAAATCGTCCTCAACAACAACAAAAAAAGAGATCTGAACAGACTGCTCACCAAAGAAGATATGTCCCTTTCTTTACCATACACAAGAATTAACTTGAAATGAATCATAGATCTAAATGTAATAGCTAAAACTATAAAATGCTTGGAAGAAAGTACAAGAGTAAGTCTTTGTGACCTTAGGTTGGCAAGACCTTCTTGGATATGACATAAACATACAAGTGACAAAAAAAAATTTGATAGATAAATTGGACTTCAAAAAAATTAAAAACTTTTTGTGCTGCAATCAAGAAAGTAAAAAGATAACCCATAGGAGAAAATATTTGCAAGCCATATGTCTGATAAGGGTCCTATATCCAGAATATGTAAAGATTTCTTATAACTCAATAATAAAAAGAAAAAGAACCCAATTAAAAAATGGACAAAGGATCTGAACACACATTCCTCCAATGAAGATACACAAATGGCCAATAAGCACACGGTAAGCTGTTCAACCTCACTAGTCATCAGAGAAATACAAATCAAACCACAATGAGATAACTTTTTCTCTTGTATTCACAAGAATGGCTATAATCAAAAATCAAAAAAAAACATTAATGACAAGTGTTGATGAGGATGTGGAAAAATCAGAACTCTCATACATTGGTGACAGAAATGTGAAATGATGCCCTGACTTTGGAAAATAGTTTGGCAGTTCCTCAAAATACTAAACAGAGTTACCACCACATGACCCAACAATTCTACCCAAAAGAAATAAAACCATAACAATATGGAGAAATGAAACTTATACACAAATGTTCATAGCAACATTTTTCATAAGACCCAAAAAGTGGAAATAACCTGAAGCTCCATCAACTGAAGAATGAATAAACAAAATGTGGCACATCCATACAATGGAATATTATTTGGCCATAAAAAGGAATAGAGTATTGATGCACGCTACAACATGGATGAACCTTGAAAACATCAAGCTAATTGAAAGAAGCTAGACACAAAAAAACACATATTGCATGATTCAATTTGTATGAAATATCCAGAAATAGGCAAATCCATACAGACAGAAAGTAAATTAGTGGTTGCCTAGGACTGGAGGGAGGAGAGTTTGGGGGTAAATGGGGAATGTACTGCTAATGGGTATACAGTTTCTTTTCAATATAATAAAATGTTCTATTTGTGGTGACACAAATAAAATGACAGATTGTGGTGATGGCTGCACAACTCGTGAATATACTAAAAACCATTAAATTGGGTGAATTGTATGATATGTGAATTATATCTCAATAAAACTTTAAGAAACAGATGAGTTAGTTTTGTGCAGCATTTCCACTGTTCTGGTGAGGAAAAAATACATATACGTGGATGAACTACTAAATACGAATTATATAATTTCAGTGATTCCACATACAAGCTAAATGTTCTTAAAAGTGCATTTAAAACTAACATTGCACAATATCAAGATGAATGGTAAAATTCATGCAATAAAATTTAATTTTTTTCCTTAGAATAACATTGAATAGCATATAAAAAACACTATGACAAGTTGGGAGAAAAACCACAGAATAAAGGAAAAAGCTTTATATTTTAGTACATTTAACAGTGTTTTTTTCCTGCTTTTTGAACAAAGAGCATATTTTCATTTTTGCACTGGGCCCTGAAAATTATGTAGCCAGCCCTGGCACAAATCTGAAAACC